GACATTGCCTTTCACCTGTGACCCATCTCAAAAGGGAACTGTTTAACCCCTGCTTCAGAAGGATATTATTGGATGATAATTGTGCACTTTTCCAGGAAGAAATCAATGGTGCAGGTTAATTTATAAAGTTTAAAAAGTGTTTTATATATATGTATACACTCAATTTCTATGTCAATAAAAAAAAAAGCGATTGTCATTTAAGTATAAAAGTAAATGGTGATTACCATGTATGTGAATTCCTGTATTTTACAAAGGGAAATACATGTCTACAACATGTTAATTCTTTCAGCAGGTTTTATATATATTTTGAAGTTCACTAACTTCATAAAGTAACTATTAAAACACTTCAGAGATTAGTGTCTGAATAATACAACTTTTAATAATAATAAAAAAGCACGAAGTGTACATTATACAGATATTACTCATAGAACATAGATAAGATACTGACATGGACAATGTAGTTGCATAATATCACTAAATTATGCTTTCTACAAGATAGGAAAATGTTTTACTAGACTAAACCTACAAATTCACATCAAAAACTGCATTCTAGCCTGAAGATTAAGGTAATGAGCCTTTTACATTGTTTTGATACACAACAATGGAACTTTAATATTAAAGTGAGTATTATATCTAAGCTTCAATATATGTATATTTACTAGAAAACAAGTAGAAAAATTAACCAACAGGTACAAAAGGCACACATGAAAACTTTAAATATAATAATTAAAAAATGCTTTTAAATGCACTTCAAGCATTACAATATAAACATCACAGAGAACAAACAGATCTTAGATCAATAAGGCTAAATTGTAACAAAAAAATACTACTGAACATAGCAAAAGTTATATTATGCACAACTGTACATTAACACTTCCTGAACAAGTTACTTCAACTGATGTACAAGTTTTTATTAGCTTCTTTTTAGAAGAAGAATCTATTTTCAGTTTTTAAAATTACCTTATGAACTTAAGAGCACTTAAAAGATTTGCAATCTGCTACTTACTTACTGTAGTGTAAAGACATGACACTTATACAAGTTACTAGCTTTGTTAGGGCAGTTTAATGTGCTTTTATTTAGATATATCTGTATAAAACAAATTTGGTGCAAAAGTTGGCCAAAGAATATGGTAACTTAACAATCAGCTTAAGTTTCAACACAAGTAGGGGTTAGTTTGCCAATGGATGTTAACCTGATGTAACTCCAGTGATATTCTGAGCCTTGTTGAGCCGAACTTCTTCAGCATGTCTCTCCTATAGAAAAAAAAGTAGTCATTTGTTAAATCAAACTTCAATTTAAGGTTAATATCTCCTGAAAACATTAAGTACAAAAAAGATAGTTTTATTCAACTGAATTGTCAAACTCTTAACTTTTCCAATTGCTGTGTACAAACAAGGAATTTATGGTCTATAGAAGCAAGACTTCTTTACAGAACTTTCTCAATAAGTAGTCTAAATTTAACATTGACCTACAGAATAGCAATGTCTTTGTTTTAAATAATAGAAAAGTAGTTTAGATTATAGGTACCTATAACCTCCTGCAGAGTTTACACAAATAAAATTTTTCATAAATATTTATTAAGACAAAGAATTAACGTGAACTTATTATATTACATATTTACACAAAGAAATTAGAATACTAGTTATTAATCCATACATTTTATATAGGTTACTATATTCCTAGAAAATGTACTGGTTTTCTAGTTCAGTACAAGTTACTATTCAGCAAACACCAGTCATATTTTAAAGAAATGTAGCGATCTACTTACCCAAATTAGAAGTTACTAATATAGTTTACAGTAGTTAAGTATTCTTTGTTGTTAGAAGGAAGTATTTCCTTGTATAAAGGAAGACCAAGCACCATTTTATAATAGACTAATGTACAGCTACAGAAATAGTTTGCAAGAAAACTGAAAGCCATTCAAACTTTACAATACTATCAACCAGAAAATAAAGTACGTCCTTCCCGATGGAGGTACATCTTTAGATTAAATCTGATGTTTGCTCACTAAGTGGATGAGTAAATTATAAATATTTTATTTAATACTCTTTACTTATTTAGAACAAACAAGAAATTAGACAAACTGTCAATTACTAGTGACGTAAAGTTTATGTATTACAGTTTGTGGGTAACACAGAAACTCCAGTTGTCAGTTTTTATTAATATCTAGTGGAGAGGGGGGGGGAGATTCACAATACAATGAATCAGTCATTAAACTAACAAATATGCCTCGCTATGTGAGCATTATGTTCAACTATCAAAGCTGGATTATTAATATTGAGAAGATAAAGAAGCTGGAAAAGCAACAAGCTGTTACAGGCAGTAACCACAGAAGGAGCAGTTTCAGCAGATCCTAGGGATAAAGCATGGCATTTTTTCTCACTTGGGACAGAAAATTACCCTTACATGCTCCTGAAGTTTTTCTAGGATTGCCTGGAGCTGACGCTGACGTTTGTTTTCTGCCTCTTCCAGCTTTTTGCTAATGCAATCCTTTTTGTGTTCATTTTCCTGGTTGATTATTTCATTTATCTGTCGTACCTGCAGCACATGTTGCTTCTATAGGTATGAGAGTAGGTTTATGAAGCACTGTTTACGATGCCATAAATTAATGTGGCATTTTTCAAAGAAGCATTTAAACTTCAATGAAAGTATACAAAGAACCTAAAAATACATTAAGTTAAATGCAGAGAAAAAATAAAGAGTGATTTTAGAAGATAAGATACTTAAATTATAAACAACTCACTAAAATCAGTTCAGTAATGAGGCTTAAAGTGTTAGGAGTATCCCCATATACTGTCTTGATAAATCATCCAAGTGAAGATTCATAAGTAAACAAAATTTGAAATAAAACTTTACACAGTGAAAAAAAAAAAAATTTGTATAAAAACAAACTACAAAGTAATGTTGAAAACAAAACTTACTAAATAGATTAAAATTTTGAATTGATTTTAAAAAAGGTATACGTATTTAATAGCATTAATTGCAAGGTATATAGGACATCCTATTCAAACAGTGGCATTAAAAATGCAACAGTTAAATAATAAGCTACATAAATGAAGATAAAAACAACACTAAGAATAGCTGCTTAGGCACCTGATAATTATGAAAACTTTTTACTCCAGTAAATTAGTATAAAGACATTTTACTTACCAGCAGAAAAATATGCATTAAGCAACCTTTGTTTTTAGGTAGTTAACAATAAGGAAGTTTTCTATGATGATATTTAAGTGTTTATTATGTATACAGTAATGTACAAATATAATTTGGTTAACGTGGAATAGTAAGTAACCCAAGAAAGTTTCAGACTAATGATTACTAGATTGGTTTCTTACCAACAGTCCCCTTAATTCTTTCAGCAAGTACACATTTTAACATTTAAAGTTACATTTCTACATTATTCCCGAGGTTTCTCAAAATCAACAAAAAAAGAAAAACCAAGTCATAATTTTAGGACTACAAGTGTTCGTAAGTACATTTCCATTTGGGATTCTTACATGTTCTTGAAGCTTTTCTTGCAACACTTTAAAAATGCCGTCTCTTTTCTCTTGAGCCAATTCAAGTTTCTTTTGACAACGGTCTCTTAAGTCATCAACCTGGGCACTCATCTGTTGTCGTACCTCAGAAATGCGTTTGTCCTTAGAAAAGCCATAGCAACCAAAATTATACAGCAAAAATAAATTATACAGCAAACATTGCATTATTTTGCCATTGAATAAATAAAAAACAATATTCAAGGTATGAAAAAGAAATATTAACAAAACTAAAAAAAAAGCCAACTTAAGTAAACGTGTAAAGACATATCATGCACACAGTTTATATCTTGATGGTCACGATATAAACTAAAAAAATTCTTGGGAGATTTCTCAACTATAATATATATTAAAAAAAAACAATTTCTAATTTCCATAATACAAAAACTCACGTGCTCACGAAGACGCTCCCTCAAAGCAGAGATCTGAGCTTCCCGAGCTTCAGTGGCACTTTCTATCTTCTTTTGAATGTTTGTTAGAATCTCTTGAGTCTGAGCATCAAGAGACTTTCGTATTTCTTCACCTCTTGACAACTATATAAAGTAAAAGGTGCATTAAGTAAATGTGCTTCTAACTATATATCATTAGTAAGGATTATAAAGTATTTTTAATGATTTTATAACCTTAGTCTAATTTAATAAAGTTGTGTATAGTTATACAAATTACAAAAGTTGTAATCTTAGCACTGAATTACCCAAATAGAGATCTAGTGGGTAGTTTAAGTAGATCTATAAAGTTATAAACAAGTTTGTTGCTTAGATATACAAACATATTTCAGATCAATATTAACTATTTAACGCAGGCTCAGTCCCTGGAACCACCCTTGTAACCATAGTGTTTGTTTTTTTGTTGTTGTTGTTTTTTTTTAATAGTTTTCATGCTGTAACTTTTAAATTAGTAAGCGTAGATATAACAAAAACAAATGTTTAGACTAAACAGCTCAAATGTGATATTATAAATTTTATACACATCTATTATATTAACCTTTGACCCATGTCTGGCTAACAATACAGAAGTAACAATGATGAGGTGCACGTACACTCATGTTACTGTATCCAATATTATGAAATTGACCTTTTGTCTTTACAAAGGTGCCCATCTTGGCTGTGGACTTGTATTTTAAGATATGGTCACATTTCAATTATTATACATTGTGTATATACATTATTACTATTTATAAACAAGTTTTAACTTATTTTTCTTAAAACATAGAACAGTAAGTAAAGTAAACAATTCTTCTAATTACGACCTCTGACTAACTCGTTTACTGCTTGTCGTAGGTTGCTAAGCCTCATAAAATTTCACATGTTCAGTTGAACAATATCTGAAAATAAGCACGGTAGTTGGGTTAACAGATTATATTGATCTGAGCAATAAGGATTTTAAAACTAATCTAGTAACAAGGTATAAATACTTACTCTCTCACGAGACTTTTCTTGAATAGATTTTATAATTGCTTCTCTATTTTCTTTGTTGGCTTCCATCTTTTGTTCCAGACTATTACGAGCTGCTTGCTTAAACACAGCATTGTATTCTTCCTTCTTCTGAAGAGCTTCTAGTTCTTTGGATCGTTTCTCATTAAGTTGATTCAGTTTCTGGGCTTCCAAAGACTTGGATAATAACAACAAATCTTTACAACCAAAACACTAAAAACAAACTGTTTAAAAAAGTTCATAATTACTTATTTATCACAAGTACTGAATCTATAAGCATTCAAAGTTACCTTGTCATTGGTGGCAGCAATAAAACTTTAGTATATTGAAAACAGGAATAATAGGTATATTACGACTGTACATAGCAGTCAGTTTAGAAACATTTTATTTTAGTCAGAAACTAATTTGTTTGTTTATTGATTTGAACAATGAAAGTTCTGATAAAATCAATTAAAAAATAAAGTAATTTCTACGTAAAGTGTTGCTATTTTGTTCACAATTTATCCAATATTATACTTTAGGTTGTAGTCATGATTTAAGGGTCTTAAGTTACTTCCATTGCCAAACTTGTTTGCCCTGTCCTCTTATGGCAAAGTTACGGGGGTGGGGTTGGGGGAGAACTTTTAATACAGAACATCTTAAATCATGGTATTATGGATTATTCAAATATAACCTAGTAATGGGTTGTTGATTAGCAATGATTGTGGTTCTCAGTGTGCCTTAATTGTTCTCCTTAGACAAGTTCTTAAGATATGGATTTTTACAAAGTCACCACGTACTGTAAAATTAAATCACTTTTGATAGAACCGATACTGTAATTTGTGAAAAATTTTCCCAGTTTTAAAATCTAGTCATTTCCCTCAATTTAATGAAAAACAAGAGTGACTGGCTGAGAGAGAAAACGAGGGCTAGTTAGGCAGCAAATTGTCTATAATATTAATGGAAATTTGTTTCTGTGATAAACAACGTGTGTGCATACACGTACACACACAAGTACTTTATTGTAACTGTTAGATTTGTATAGAATAATTATCCAAAATTTTACATTATTATTTTATCTTGATTTTACTAACAAAATTCTTAGTACATTAAAGTATGTGACCCATAAATGTTAGGTGTGTCTACTGAACTTATGAACCTTTATTATCATAAATAATAAAATGCAGAAGATGCTCTGTTAAGACAAGCATAACGTACAAGTTTCTCTACAGATTGTGTATTTTCCTACAGCCATAGAGTATCTTTGGGCAGAGGATTCTCCAAACACGTAGCTAAGCAAAGAGGCATGTCTTAAGTCAACCACATTCTGGATGTTTGTATAGTAGAAAAAACAAGACTGGAGCTACCATAGATGCCCCCATATTAATGTTTTAGCAAACTTATAATTTCCATTGTGTCAGTGTTAGCAATAGCTAAAAATCACTAACCTGTCTCCTTTCTTCGGCAGCTTTCAGCTTGTTTTCAATATCTTCTACAGACATGGAGGTCTTGGGAGGAGAAGAAGCCAAGCAAGGAGGGGCAACATCTGCTGGATCAGCAAGCACTAGCTCATACTTCATGCCCCCCTTTGACTGTTCTGTAGCACGTACTTCTGTAGCTGTGGTCATAGAAAATCACATTTGTACATTCCGCACAAAGATAGTTTCTCTAAGTTAGTCGTATAAATATTTCACAATAGTCAGATATTGATGAGTTGTACACTTCTTGAATTAACTTACATCATCTTACGTTGGCTTTGGATGCATGGCAATACAGAGAAGGAAAATACTCAATTTTTATTATCATCAGATTAAATTTTAGATCACAGAACTAAATTATGATGTACCTTATTATGGATTCTTCTTTTCAACTGAAACAAAAAGAACTATTGCAACTGATATTATTTCAATTGTTAACTTATAACTATTCATTAAGCTGTTAAGCAATCAGCCCCAACTTGGTTTAGTCTCAATTGAAATTGTGTGAAGGTTCTCAAACGGAGTTATCAGGACTAAAATGTCTTAAGGAAGTATTACCTACTAATTGGAATTACACTGTCAACACGAAGATTTGAGAGAAATACTTATGAATGTGCCAGCAATCTGTAAAGGAATGAAGTACAACAAATTCACTGTTTTAAACTTGTTTTTCTTTTTGTGCCCATAATTCCACTCATTATGATGAATGATATTAGGGTGCATGAAATTTAAAAGTACAAGTTACTACAAACATCATTTGATACTGAGAAGACCAATAACATCACAATTGAAGATGGTAAGTACAAAAGACTAGTTTTAGAACGTTAAACAGACAAGTTCCATTTTCAGAGGGTATGCTACCTTTAGTTTCAGTTATACATGCCTACCCTATAAGGTAAATTGCAACTTTATTACCCCCCCCTCCCCTTTAAATAAGTATTATGATACATCACAATCTATTGGTTTACCTTTAGACACTAGTAATTCTAGAGAAAAGGGGATACGTTTGTTCCTACCAAAAGACTAACCTATTGATACAAACAAGTTTTCAAAATACCAGATTTTCCATACCAAAAAGTTTGCCTCAAATCAGGACTCAATATTATCAATGGTTTAGCCCATAGGCTAGCAACTAATTAAACTTTGTACCAGGGTTTATATAGTTTGGTTTATAGTTACTGCAATAAATTATACAGGAAAGATGCTTGTCTACTTGTATACCTCAAAAGCATAAATTTAAGGTGTTTTTTTTATTTTCAATGTAGTTAAAGAGTTGCTTTGTGAAAACAACTTGTGAATTGCTTATTTTGCCAAAAACAATGGACCTTCTCCTGGAAAAGAAAAAATTAAATATATGCTCAAGGAATTTTGATGTTTAGTTGTTGGAGAGAGAAAGAAAAAAAACACAACTGTGTTGTATGTCTATTTATAAGTTGTTTTGCTTAGTTAATTTAAATCCAAGATGGCAGAAGTTTCAATTTCTGCACTAAAGAGTGTGGGCAAACTTAACATCAGATGCTTGTTGAAACATATTAAAGAACCCACATGCTCAGAAGGATGTCTTTAAAGCAAATACTGGAGATGTGGAGGTGCACTCACTGAACAGGGTGAAGACACAGAAAGACTAGTCATCTATTTGCTGGTATTCATCCACTGTGTGGCAGTTTACAAGCCACAATGATGCTGATAAAGGATAGAAAACAATCTTTCTGAAAGTAGGTCATCTCTAACATTCACCTCAACCACCCATCAGATTATCATCAACAGCTGTGAAGTGGTGTAAAAAAAAAAAAAAGATTATGGTTGTCTGGTCAATGACTCCACATACCAAATTATCACCTTCACTTACTTTTGCTCCAATACTAGTACATGTCAACCAATTTATTTAATTACCCATAATGGTTCTAGTTTTATCAAGTTGTTTCTTCCTGACCCCAGTGCAATGTCTCATTATATGTTACACATTTTTTTTTTTTTTTTTGTTTATTGATCATTGGGGAAAGACTTATTTTCCCCATAACATACAAAAATGCAGATATGAAGGTTTGGTTTGTAATAATTAAGTTGACTGTGATGAACTCAAAAGTTCTATTATTATTATTACCATGCTACTATAACAAGGTAATTTATACAAGTAGTAATTTTCCTTCTTAATAATTTAAGCTAGTTATTTATTAAACGAGTTTACATTTGCCTCTACAACAAGAACAACAAGGTTTTATAGAAATAATTTACATATTTATTTCTCGTGGTATTCCCTTAATGCAGGGCTATTTAATTTTCAGTCCTGGACACTTGTGAAGGTAGAACTAAAAACGAACAGAAAAATCACCACCTGTAAAGTCTTCTAAAACACTACTGATAATTAAAGGTAAATATTACGTTAATAGTTCCATAACAAAACTCGAATTTTCTACTTAACATATTTTATAACATCTACTACTTGTATGACGAAACTCAATATTAAGTTACCGCCTCGAAGTTCTGTACCCGATATATTTGAACTATACATAGCTAAAGAGAGTTCGCCAATGCAGTAATACATCATGCGCAAAGAAAAAGAAAAAAAAGCAAAATCAATGCGGGTTCTATCGAAAAGTAATAATGACAGCCTACTGCAAACAAAGTAAAAATCTGTAATATAGCATGCACAGTTTGGCATGCTGAAACTCGACACAATCCTTACCTAGACGAACCATTTTATTGGGTTGTGTATTAGCGATTCCTTGAGTCGGTGGCGAAGGGCGTGGTTTCTCTGCAAGACAAAGTTCGAGTGAAACGGTCTTTATATTTTACACCCGGGCCAAATTTATGGTTTATTTTTAGGCTATAGAATAAGTTTGTATCAATATTGAACGATTCCGACAGTAGAATTTCATATTAAAATAGGAAGCAGATAATTTAATCAATTCTGTAGGAAGTCATTAGATGGTTTGAGAATTAAATATTTTTTTCTTCAATCAAACAAAATAAGGAATTAAAGAAGCAAAAGTTTATAAATTTTAAGTTTACCGATTGATTTACTCTCTAATATATGTGTAGTTAATAAGTGTTCTTCATTGTGGCGGAAACCGAAATAAAATATTCTTAAACGAAACCCGATGCTTCTAGTTACATGGTATTATATAATTATAGACTTGTGTATTATTCATATTACTATTTAAAATTATTCATTCTAAACAATTCTTAACAACATTAAAGTGAAGACGTGTTAACCTTACCGATAGCACTCGCATGACACGCCCTACAGAAACACTGGAGAATAGAGCTCCTGACCACTTCTACCATTAATGATGTTCCCACCATTTTCCTCTTACAGTTTAACAACAGCAGAAGTGAACAATTCAGTTTTGTGTCATAAAACCGATAGTCAGCCAATCCATGAGTACCTCTGCAAGGCTCGGTTGTTTGACAGTGACAACCACTATTCTGGGGTCACGAATTTCACGTACTAACTGTTCCGAATTGCCGGCGCAGTCTCAATACGGGTTCGTACAATTCTATCGAACGGGCCAGCTCAATTTAGCTGTGGGGTTGTGATTTGTGTTCGCCAGACAAAAGGTTTTGCAGCAAAGCTAATAGTAGCAAGCTTCAACATAAATACACTGCTGAAGTTATGAATAAGACGTCACTCAAGTTAAGTTCATATACAAAAAAGGTGAATGACCAGGTTAAAACACCACTGCCGGTAGCTTAATTTAGCAGTTCATTTCATACAGAACTTCAGCCGATAGTATTATTAACAAACATGAGATTCAGCGTTAGAAGCTTTAGGAAATAATAAAAAGTAAATTTAACAAGTACATGCATCATTTTAATTGTTTTCCCGTTTAATTACACCTACCTCCAAAATCAGTTTCTAGGGTTTTTTTTTTTTAAATTTAAACGTTTATAGACTAACTACCATTTTCTAAACAAGTCCTGCTGAGTCACTCAACATACAAATACATATGTGATTCCAGTTTTATTTATTGAAAGAGGGAGTTAGGAGGTTTCTTTAATTAAATGTAGTTTAGTTATAAAATCACGTATAGATTTTTAGCACTAATTCCCATTGTTTAGATAACATTAGAATGGCATTTATCGTGCATAATATAATCACACACAAACGAAATACGCGACATAAAAATTACGAAATTTGAATATGCCAGACACTGTAGAGAACGTGAATAATTTACAAGTATTTGTTCGAAATTAAAACATCTTAATGCGAGTCACAAATTAATATCGAGTAACGAAATGTGGTTGTTGCCATGGTAACTTAAATTGTAAATTTAGTATTCCTAGACACTAATTAGTTTATATCGTTTTGACTGCTGATCTATTACACTTTTCTGGAAAGTCCCGAGAACTGCGTGTAGTCAGGATTCGATCCTGGGTAGTCTCGTTAGAATGACTGGTGTGGTAACCACTCCACTGGTTTCAGGTGCTACGTTGACTCGTTAATCCTTCGTATCTTATTATCTTTAATAATTAATCTGAAGTACAGGAGACGGTCACATTTACTGTAGAGCTGTACATCTTTTAAAAACACTATTACATTCGAGTAAAATGTCCGTTATGTAGCAATAACTATACTGTTAACAGCCGGGATAGAGTTACGTACTTGAATATAGAAATACTGTCTGTTGGGTGCTACTAAAGCGTGCGGTCTACACAGATTCTTTTGGGGGTGGGGCAAATATAATCGGAATAAAATAAATTCCAACAATCACAACCAGCACAATTATAACCTAAACTTAAGGTACTCTTTTGGAACACACACACACACACACACAACTCATTAATTATTATTTGTTGAACAAAAACGTAGATAGATATAAATTATTTATGAAAAAATTGTTTCAGTGAATCATTTAAACGGTGACGATGACAGTATCTGTGTAGATCGCACCCTGTAGTAGCACCGTCCACGTAGCTACTTCGCAGGGTGTGGATGGATCTTCACCAAGTTTGGTATTGACGCCATTGGATCCATGGGGAGGTACATACAAATTTTATTTGCACATTTTGCGATTTGCAGTTTTTACATACAAGGGAAAGAAGTTTATGCACTAAGATAACATTTCATTAATCATGAATTTACATAACTTCCGGTGGACGGGTGCTCCAGCTAGTTTGTGCGTGCGTGCGCATCCGCCGTCTTTGTGGGATGATAGTTTGGAACAAGGGGCATGTTACTGATGGTTCACAACCCCTCTACCCCTTTATTTATGTTATTAAGCATTTAATTATAGTAAGTACAAAGCAATATATTTGGGTTATAATTTTACTAGAGATAAGATCCAACTCAATACCACAAGTGAAGATGAGGATCTTAACATAATGGTAGCCTCTGTTGCTAGTAACAAGGTTATTAAAATTGTAAGATTCACTTATTCAGACATTGAAAGGTTAAGATATAATTATTTATAAGTTACTAGGTAGGCCATACTTGGTCTCCTTCCTGGAAAGGACATTAGCATACCAGAAAGGATTCAGAGGAAGGATACTAGGACTCCAAGGATTATCTTCCAAGATAGGTTAAGATTAATCTATGTTCTCTTAAGAGTAAAAAGGTGGTCTTATTGAAATGAAAGATTATCCAGGGTATTGATTATAAAAAGGCCTCATTTCTCTGTGCTATATTCATGACAGATTCATGAAATAGTCATTACCAACAGTTGGGGAAGTTGATGTTTAATAAGGGAGGAACTGTAGTTTACTGAAAAATAAAGGGTAGATTTAATTCAATTTCTCATGTGTAGGTACGGCAAGGAACAACATTCAATATTAAAGTTTTATATTATTTAACTGGATTCAAGCAACACTCAGTTTATTGTTTGAAACTGTCAAACTATTATTGTATTAACTAGTGTAACAACTACTTGAAAAAGTCACATAACTATAAATACTTAACTTAAATATATTGTCAAACTCGCAGTACACTTATAAAAGTTTACATTTTGGTTAACCCTAGTTTACATGTTAAATAATAATAAGTACTTGAAAAAGTCACATAACTATAAATACTTAACTTAAATATATTGTCAAAATGCTTCATATCAAACTCGCAGTACACTTATAAAAGTTTACATTTTGGTTAACCCTAGTTTACATGTGTAAAATAATAATAACTACTTACATTCAGACATGCCAAGATTCTTAACAGTGACGGCTATAAGGTTTTCTTCAAGATCTGAAGAAAAAAAAAAACTGTCTTCAGATTAAATCATTCCATCCAGCCACTCACAAGTGATATAACTTGTGTTATAAGATTTGCCAGCAGCATCACATAACAGTTGTTTGTTGTCAAAAAAATCTAAGTTAAAATTAACTTTACTTCTACCACAATATATTTTAACATGACTTGTTGAGGGAAAACAAATTATATTATACAGAATAAACAAAATTATTATGATATCAATACTATTTTAAATAAAATGGAGTTAGTAGTTAAGTTTTTTTTTTTTTTTTTTTTTTTATTGAATTTTCGAATGCATGCATTACCTCTCTAACAGTAACATCTAAAAACTCAAGTATGTAGTGTTAATGCAACCCCCCCCCCAAAAAAAAACAAAGATTTTAAAACATGATCAAATTGAGACATAATAACTGTTGATGCCAATTTACAGTAGGTGTAGTTAATAGTGATATTCATTTAAAAAAAAAATAAATAAATAAATAAAAAAATGGAACAAAACTGCTAACTGGATTTGAGTTTATTGTTAACAATTTTTTTTTTTAAATACAAGTTTTGAATTGTACCATTCATAAACTTAACATTTTAGCTTTGAAAATTCACAATTTTGGGTGTGTATCTTACACACTTAACAATAATGTAAAGTAAGACAAATTTGGTGTTTAGATACACATCTTTAGTTTTTAGGTAAATGTTATGCTTAATTGGCCACAGTTTGAAAGATTTTACAATAGGAGCAGTAACAGTACAAAACTATACTTCTAATAATTGAACTTTAGTTTAAGTAAACCCAACTGCTTGTATTTGTTTTTACTAGTGTTAAGACAAAAATTTAGATATGCTTTTAAAGTTTAATTTTAAAATCAATTTTTATCATTTGCTTGATAAAACTATTTTATTAATTTACTGTACAGTACGTGACAAGTTTATTTAAATAGCTTTAATCAAGTTAACCAAGGGTCTGAATTTAGGGGATAATTTTCTTTGGAGAGTATGTTTAACTCGTAGTTGTAGTACTAGTAGCAAAGTTGCTTGGGCTATTGCATTACAAGATAAAATAATAGTTAAGAGTAGAAAAAAATAAAGTACAAAAAAGACAATTATAAACTTATTTAAGTTAACGTGGGCCTAGTTTCAACTCCTGCCTTGTGTTGTGGTTATGGGGGCAATGAAAGAAAAAAAGAAGAAAAAAAAGATTGTTTTTACTCCTACTCCTTAAGCCATGGTTTGAAACAATGAAATTGCATTTATTCTGGGGGTGGGGGGGGAGATGTCTCATAAGATTTAACTTACCTTAAGTTAAAATTAACCTCTCTCCAGTTCGCCTCAAACTAAGCATAAACTAAAGCAAACGTTTGTGGGTTACTTTCCCTGGCTTAAAGTTAAAACTGTCTTGACACCAACATTTGAAGTTGAAATAACTTTTCGGTAATTGTTTTTAGAACTAGTTGGACATGTAAATTGTAATGCTTGGAGACTGCGTGAATGAGTAAAGAAAAACTTTAATATGTTTCACCTACCAGCAAATATACTACGTTTCGATAAGGTTTTGTTATCATCAGGTACAAATTAGTATTGTTACAACTTACACTTACAGTACTACCAATACTATTGTTAGTGTTAATAATACTAGTAACTTCTAGTTCTAAGAAGAAGTTTCATAATCTCTATCTTATAGTTATACAACTTTTTTTATAAGCTTACTTGTATTTGTTATATTATGACTAATATCCAATTTTAAATATTACTATTTATTAGTAGGCTTACAAAGTTAATAAATATTGAAATAACACATCTTAACACTAACAGCTTAAGCCGTAATACTATTACTAGTAAGAAGTGCAAGTTTCATACTTTAAGAAATCTTAATTATAAGGCAAATAACAAAACAAACATGAGTATACGTTAAAACTTAAATTCAACATCAACGATAAATTGATTCTTACAATTCAAAATCTACTCTTACCATCTTATGAGTTAACGGAAACATTAAACTTACCGAAAACGTCAACCTTCTCTGTTCCGAATATACCAACAGTATGCTTATTTGTCAATTGAAGACTGCTTTTATATTGTTCTCAGAAAAGCGCGCCAATAAACTTTCTTATTGTATGATTGGCTAACTGCCTTTTTGGTCTCTCTTGGAATTGGTTGATTCATTGAAGATCAAAACACGTTTTCATCCTACTCAAGGCGCTGACTTGTACTTGTTTTTAACGGTTTTAAAATTGAAATGAATAAAAATATGCTTTAACGATACTTTAAATACCATTTTCTTGCTTTTATAGAAT